AAAAGTTCTCGAGCTCTTTGGCATCTCTGGCCTTTCCATATCCATGAGGCTCGGGTGCCCTCAAATTTTGTGGCGGTGCAACGCGGGTGTTGCTTCCTCCCACATTTAGTGTTCTTGTGAGCATGGCCACCTTTGAAGTGAGTTCCGCCCAGTGATTGAAAGAGGCGCTCGGGCGCTCGCCTAGGCGCTCGGGCGAGGCGAGGCGAGGCGAGGCCCAAGCACCTCGCTAATGTCCTAGGCGGCGCGCTTCAAACAGGCGCCGCCTGGGCGCTCGCCCGAGCCCAGGCGTTGGGCGCTTCGGGAGAGCGCCTGGGTAAACCAAGTGACCGAACCAGGATTTTAGGTCTGGTTCGGTCCTGGTTCGGTTGTTAGTTGGTTCAATCGAACCAACTAAACCGATATAACTCTTACCCAACCCTAACCCGCTGCCGCTGCCGCTCCCGCTCCCGATCTCGCTGCTCGTCGCTCCTGCTCCCGCTGCTGTTGCTCGTCGCTGTCGCTGCTCGCGCCTCCCGCTGCTTGCGCCTCCCGCGAGCCCTCCAGCTGCTCGCGCCTCCCGCGAGCCTTCCCGAAGTCTTTGGTGTCATCAGACTGTCGGTCGACTAGGGCCTCGACCTTGTCGATCCTGGACTCTGCTTCCTCTTGCGAACTCTCTACCCCAACAAGCCTTTGTTGGCCATGGTAGAGTTCCTCCATGCTCGCTTCAAGAACATCCAAGCGGGTTTCCGCCGTTGTGAGTCTCTCCTTGTGACTCTTTTTCCCAGTTAGCGCTCCAGATTGCGCTTCCTCCGCTCGCGGAGAGTAGCCAACTTCTCGCTCATCATGTTCGCTACCGCGCTCCTCTTGAGCGGCTCCAACAACATGAGAGCGAGTGTGCACATGCAGCCCACCTGCGGCTGCTTGGGGCAAGGGTCCGGCTTGCCCCGTCTTGCTTGATTCGCCACGATGCTTTGCCATGGCGAAGTTGCAAAGTTCGTTCGCTGCTCGCTCGAAGTGCTTGCCCGCTCTGATACCACAATGTCACGGCCTTAGCTGGAATTGCCTAAGGCGTGAGGCACCCTTGCAGCCAAGACGTGAACTTCGCTTGCGTTGCCTAAGTCGCGCTTCGCCCTTGCGATATTGCTTCGCAAAGATCAGCCCACTTGTAACCTCTCGCAGGTCCCAAAGGACCTGTAAAAGAGAAAGTTGATTAGTTCGAAAGAACGAGCAACGGACATGTAAAAGAGAAAGTTGATTAGTTCGAAAGAACGAGCAACGAACAAGTCCCGAAGTCTCGCGAAAAGGGGAAGCTTTACAAGCAATTCAACGAGCACCTTGCGTGTACAAGAGAAAAGAGGGAGAGGGGGAAAACAAGGGCTTTAGAAGGTTGAACGAACAGCTGCAAGCCCACAAACAGCTGCTCACCGAGTCCCGGGCGCGACAACAAGTTCCCGTCAAGGCAACGTGCGAACTTGCGAAAGAGTGTTCAATGCCCGGTACTATACCGAAGCCCCATCTAGCCCTGTGCCACCCGGGGGGTTCAAAGGGGCTGAGATGGCTGACGTTTTGGTGAGCGGAGGCAGATTCCAGAAATCAGCCCGCGGCACGTGAAAACGGAGCTGTTTTGGGGCTGTTTTGCTCGGTTCGGTGAGCGATCGCTTTGTAACGTTGCAGCTTGTTCGAACTTACATTTTTACAAGCAAAATGACCCAAAACCAAGAGAAAACATGCTGTCAAGCAGCTGTACATGTAGGTGTGAGCGACGAACGGTTCGTTGAACGGAGTTATTGCGAGTGCGCGACGACCGTTCGTGACATTACACTAGACACATTACCTCCCAACCTTATTAATTTATCGATCAAGTTGGTGAACAAGGTAGTAGAATTAGTAGAGGAAAAAAATTGTTGTCTAAAGACAAAAGATAGACAGCATTATTGAGCGTAAACTCTGAGCCTCATATTTATTTAACTTTTAAGTTTGGTGATAGCCTACAGGTATGCAATTTTTTATTCTTCAATGGTGGGTGCACATCATTCAACAACCTTCCCAATTATAACAATTATTGTAAAACAAATTTCAAAAACTCCAGTATCAACAGATACTGTGGAGCAATCTTTCAGCATTGAGTGAAGCATCTTGATGATACCCATTCAAGTATGAGCCCCAAATTAGTTGAGGCCCAAGCATATATTGATGAATAAACCAAAACGGAGCAACAGGGCCAAGAGATTGCCCACGAATGCAAGATATATTAACCAAAAGAACAATCAAGACATCCAACATAGGATAGATGCATCTATTTTTCAATATGTTTTTGTCATTACATGTATAGAAACACATACACTTTGTGACTTTGATGAAAATTTTAAAGAAATTATGATTCTTTTAAGCTATAAATTATTTTTAATTACAAATTAAAAAATTAAATATTGAAAAATATTATTTTGGTTCGGGATCGAAACTGGAACTAACAATTAAAGAACCAGAGTTGAAGGTTATATAACCAAAATCAAAACCTTCAATTGTTCATGAACTTTCAATTTCAATTTAGGTTATGAACCAAAATCAAATTTTATTTTATTTTTATTTTTTAAATAAAACATAATTTATAATTGCAAAATAATCATAATTTTATTTAAAATTTTTAATCGAAGTCACAAAGTGGATGAATTTCTATACACGTAATGAAACTACCTAGTATCGATTTGGTTCCGATTCCCAAAAGCCTAAAACCGAAACCGTTGGTTACGAAATTGGGGCTAGGGCTAGGTACCAGATTTTTTAGTTTAGCCAAGATATTCTATCATCAACGTCAATCCGTCTTGATCCAAAGCAAGTTCCTACACAGCGAAAGCATATGATACAGGAACAATTTATTTTTATCAGATATTTAAATAAATTTGACCAGTTTAGGGGCATTTTGCATATGTCATAAGTTGTCATATAGCAACATATACTCAATGAGAAAAAAAGCAAATATTGAAAAAAAGAGAAAAAAATCTCATTCGATCTTGATTGAAGATCTGAAAGATTTATGTATTAAAGTTTATCAATCAGGAATATTATCAAAAGGGGAAGATTACTTTTCAAATCAAGGAATATTATCTTATTCGAAAGAAAGAAGAGATCATATATTTGATTTAATGCAATGATAATTTTTATTATTTCTATAATTTTCTTTTTATGCTTTGTATCTGGGGCCTATATAGAGGGGCGAAAAGATTATAGTTCAAATTCTTTTATCATATAAGAGTGGTGTGAGGACATATTTGTTTCCACTATAGCATGGTTGCATCGTCCAAGTGCAAGACTTGTGGAGGTGGGATGCCTTCATCCAAGAATTAGATTACTCCTTGAGGCAGAACGAGTCTAGTCGTTATCAATTTATTTTTTCATTATCTCTTTGTTTTCTTTTTTTGCTCTTATTCTATTCCTCTATAAAAAAGAAAAGAGATTTGCAAAGAGATTCACTGCTACTCATCTACATCAAGAAGGTACATAATCACGAGCCTTAAAGTATGTTTTTAAATATATCTTTTTGTATGGTTCAGACAGATTGTCCAAAACGAAGGCAGTCCACATACCAATTCACATGCAGATCGATATGTATCACCTGTTTTGTACTAGTCCAAGCAAAATATCAAACTTTCAACCCTCATATCTTATGGATGGTAAACTCCAACCGAGTAGATAAAGACTTGAACCAAAACTTAGATAACATTTAAGATAACACATGCTTAAAAGAGGCTGATATACTTTAGTATTTGAAAGTGTAAACTTAATTTCTTATTATCAAACACAATTTCACCAACAGAAGGACTTCTATGCTGTAGCAGCAATAACAAGTGCCTACATGTGGTGCCCTGATAACATAAAATGGCTAATTTGTGAGCAATTAGTCTGATAAGGTATGGTTTGAAGAAAAAAAACCCATCAAGACCATTACTCCAATGTCTTTAGCCTTCTGGCTCTAAATTGTGCTTCCTTTAAACATGCAACAAGACAACTTGCAAAAGAACATGGTAGAGTATTCAAAGAGATCCATGTTGATAAAATTTAAAATTTCTTGGAAACTAATTGCCTAAGTTAATCATGTATTGGACCACATTTTTGTTGTAAACAACTTGAGATTTTGTCAAGGTTATCATGAATTCAGTTTGCTGATAAAATAATCGGGGCAGTCATGGAGCTGCTTTTAATTCCAGTTTTTGTTTTCAGTGTTATAAGATTCTAGCATGAGCTTTAGGTCATCACAAGAGCTAAGATTAGAACACAATGGTAGAATATATTCATTGAAATTAGAGCAGCAGTCTGGTACTTGAGATAGACTTTCTTCAGAGAAACAAATGTTGTTCTTCCCTTCTTTCTAATCCTTAGATGACTGCTTTTCTCCTTGGTTCTGGTAGCATTGTAGAGAATAAACAGAGAGAACAGGAGGAAGGGCTGAGGAAAGCACATCTTATAGGAGGCTTATTAGGTTATCAGCAGGGTTCCCTACAACAAAAGATTATTTTTCTTGGTCCAAGGAAATAAAAATAATTTTTTATTACTATTATCGAAAATATGAAAAGTACAAAGTGAATCATCTAAAAAATTAAAATAGATATAAACAAACTAATTGGTTCATGTCTCTAACTTTAGTTTTCCAATTAAAATAGATACAATAAAGTGATTCATGTCTCTAATTTTATTTCCAAATTTTCAACTTTAATGAGTCCCTAAGCACGTACTAAACTTTCTTTTTCACATTAACGCATTGCCTGTGAACATCTTTAAATGATCTACATTATACAGTTTACTATGTTTATCAAATTAACATACTGCCGGAGAGAACGGGAACAATCAGGAGAAAATAAATTTAAATATAACAAACTGCTTCGACCAATGGCAAAAAAGGCAACTACGAAGTCACATCAAACAAAAGATGGAAAATTGTACAATAGCTATGGTAAGATCAAAAACGTATTTTAACTAAGTTCATTGTTACAGAACTTGGGATGTACTAGGGTAATTGGACCAACCTGTTGATTATGAAGACGATTTTCATGTTCAAGCTCTTCAATCTCTTCCTGAAAAATATCAAGAATTAAAAATATTCTACAAACATAAGAAGAATACTAAACAGTTGAAAGCTTACTTGAAGTGCTAGAATATGCCTTTGTGACTGAGCCAGTTCTTCCTCCCTTTGAGCTTGTTGCCTAGCCAGAAGCTGAAATCAAAATCCCACAACCAAGAATCTCAGCACAGGAACATGTTCAAGCAAATGTATTAAGACCTTTATACTTAGAAATTACAATAATATCATATCACCATTTATCTGAAAACTTATTTATAAATAGGAACTTAAAAGAATGGACAATTAAGTCATACTAGAGAAAAGGAAACTAGAATGGATAATAAAGGCAGGTTCAAGCAAGGGGTTCCTCAGGCTGCAGATATGTTGAGGCTAATGAAGGCAGACTGTGAGGAGCTTGCCGTTATAGAGGGCATTCAAGTGGCAGTGGCTGAAGGGATCACTAAATTGCAAGTGGCATGTGATACATCCAATGTCATTCATGTGATTAGCAACCGCAAACCCCCTTCCATAGAGACAATTTGGTGTGTATAAGCAACCGGAAACCCCCCTCCATAGAGACAATTTAGTGAAGGGATCACTAAATTGCAAGTGGAATGTGATGCCTCCAATGTCATTCATGTGATTAGCAACAGGAAACCCCCGCTCCATAGAGACAATTTAGTGTGTATAAGGATATTTTTAAGCTCATAATGCTGTTTGGCAATATTACTTTTGCTTATATCTTCCGTGAGACTAACAAAGCAGTGATTTGATTGCTGCTAGTGCTAGGCATTCTAGATCCACATTTTGTGGCAGAGAAACATGCTATAGATCTTTGTGATCTTGAATCCTCTGATGCTGACGGTAGTTTTTGTATCCATTCTTTGACTTAATGCAGTGACTTTTCGAAAGACCAGTTAGAATGACCAATTCACAACAGCAAGTCCCCTTCAGGTCGATATATGAGAGTCTTAAAATTTAGTCCGAGAGGCACTTAACAAGCAGTTGTAATAGGACCAAATGAAATTGGAACTGCAGATTGAAAAGAACCCCGATGCCAAGGATTTGATTTTTGATGAAACTATGGATCTTGACCATAATAACTCATTCCAATGAGGTGATGAGATGCAATGCCAGGGCTCTTGGGCCTTTTCCATGTAACATTTTGGCCCACAATTTTTCCCAATCCATTTGGTCCAGGTGGTCAATTTGAGTTTAGTATTAGACCACTTTCATCCATCTTGTAACAAAACCTGTCATGTCAACCAAGGACTATCGTACCATTCGAAATGGGCAGTATGTATCAATCCACGAACCTTTCCATTTCGGATGGAACGTAGGAAGTGGGGGGCCTACTGCTTGATACGCCTCCTGTATCATCCAATATGGTCAGATTTTGATTGTATCAATTCAATCAAATTAGGGGGACACCTCAGTCACTTTCTCACTCTAACTTGATTAAACATCTTATTCGGCGATTAAAGCAAATCATGCTCTTCTTTGGCAGGATTCAAATTTGGGATTCAGTGGGAATTCTCTTCAATAAAGATATTTATACTCTTTCTATGTTTTAGTTAGTGTTTGACATAATTGGATGTTTATTATTTCATAATTATAAATAATTAAGGGTGATTAGTGTACTTCTCTTAAGAGTAGGCTCAAAATTCAGTGTTCGTAGTGCTGACCTATACCAGTCGATACATACCGGTCCAATAAGGGACCGGCACGCAGACCGCCCTGTACTGAGTGGTCCATGATAGAGGTATACCGGGCAGAACGATCGAAATCCGATCGTTACCGACTTGTACCAATCGGTAATGGTCGGATTTTGATAGTTACTTATGAAGGGCTAAGATTTGTTGAGTTCCTATAGCCCATTTAACCATTTGAACCAGATCTGTGTGTTTTTAAACCCTTTCTACCCCCTTATTCACTCCCCTTTCACTCTCTCAAACACTTCCACTCTCAATCTCTCTCGCTCACATCTTTCTCTCATTCTCACATTTGCATTTTCTTAAACTCAACAAAGTTATGATTTGTGGAATGGATCAAGTTTAAGAGGCTAATTTAAGAGAATTAACACCTAAACTCAACAGTATGGCAATCGATCTTATGATACATAGCAGCAGATCATTGGAGAAAGTAGAAGTTATGGTATTCTCCAACCACCGCACAAATATATGCCACAATCATACTTGCCTAAGGAGCTACCTTGGACACGTGTGATTCACGACGAATAGACTCGGACCATCACCACATGGAGACATCAATGGGATATGGTGTATCAGTATGTTGTGGGATCAATAATAGGATTAGGTCTATCAAACATATCATATTGATAAACATATGCAAAAGATTGAGGACTTCGATCTACCATCCGTAGAGTCTCATCATTCTTTTTAGTAGTAGAAACAGATATATTCATCGATCGATCCATTTATTACTTCATTCATTTGAATCTTAAAGTTTAACTCAAAATCTAACAATTCAAAATATTTATTTCTATATAATTCAATAGCTCCTTAAAGTCGAAAGAAAATATGAGCCACTATTCTTACCTAATTTAGAATATTTTTGCTAAAATTATACTAAATTTATATTTATTTCCAACTTTAAATCCCTAATCTATGATTTTTCTATTTTTAGGTAATTTTAGAGTAATTTTTGGCCTTTTTTCTATGCCATCAAGATGCCCGACCATGCCGACACTTCACACACCGGTGTAGGGTGGCACATACCATGCTCCCAGCTAGCCAACACATCGGTTTGGACCAATAAGGCAAAAAAACAGCTCAAATAGTCCATTATCCTATTTTTAGGCCCAAATTGGAGCTAATTTTGCCTAATCATAGCTGTTTAAGGGTGAATAGTATCTTTCTCTTTAAGTTTAAGCACAACTAGGGCCATTATCTTACATTTAGATCGAAATTGGGGTAATTATGTTCAATCACAGCTTGTTAAGGATGATGAGTGTCTCTTTTAATTTTAAGCTCAATTAGGTCCATTATGTTACTTTTAACCACAGATTGAGGATAATTTAAGGTAATTGGGCTTAATCATAGCTTGTTAATGGTGATTAGTATCATTTTTCAAACCTTTAGATTACCTATAATTTAGGTTTCATCACAGCTACTTATTAATTGTTTAACTATAAATTTAGTTGTTGATTAAGGCCTTATTTTTGTATTTAATATGATTAAAGTCAAATTAGAGCTAATTAGTATAATTTTCTTAATTTTGGACACAATTTTAGGGTCACTATCCATAATTTTAGGCTAAATCACAGCTTCTTATTAGTTGTTTGATTATGAATTGTGTCCATGTCTACAATCATCATTGATCAGTGATTTAAAAAGCGCTAGGCGCCAAAAGGCGCCAAGGTCCAAAAACGCCCGAGGCGCTAGGCGCTCACCCGAACGAAGCGAGATGCTAAAATATAAAAATATATAATATAATTAATAAATATAATTATTTAAAATTATAAATAAAAATATGCTATTAAATTAAGAAAATCTATTAACAGTATTAAAAATTAATCATTTCAAATAAACTTAATATTAACAGTATACTGTATACTGAGCCTGCTGACTGAGAAACAAGGAAGCAACGGCGAGCGGCGAGCAACGGCAGCGGCAGCAGTGGCGGCAACGGAAAAGGGAGCGGGAGCGACGAGCAGCGGGAGGCGCGAGCGGCGACAGCGACAGCGTTTGCGAGCAGTGACAGCGGCGAGCAGCGGCATCGGGAGCAGGAGCGACGAGCAGTGGGAGGCACGAGCGGCGACAGAGGCAGCGTTTGCGAGCAGCGACAGCGGCGAGCAGTGGCACGGGAGCAGGAGCGACGAGCAG